CCGTGGTCCTCTCATGGATGCTCTCTTAAAAATGTGACTGTCAACACAGTAAGCTTTGATATGACAATAAAGTAACCTACTACAATTTTAAGGTCGATGTGAAATACATAATCAAAGTCGAAATAAGATATCTTATCCAAAAATCAAAGGATAGAGTTGTTTCTTTTTTTGAAATATTGCTAAATAGTAGTTTCATGGTCAATATTATTCTGTCCTTACTTGTCAATAACTATCGTACTTATCTGTAGGGACAAATACAAAGATAGTACATATAAATAGGCAGTCTGTTAGTTTTTGTGAAATGATAGAAATTAAATTTTATATTAATTAATTCGCCTAAATTAATATGATAATTTACTCATTTGACAAACTACTTATCCATAGGGAAAAGACATAGAAGATCAGTTCCATTCGATGTTGTTCCTTTATCAACGAGAGACGAAGGAAGGAAAGAACACTTATGTGTCAGTCGCAGCGTAATTATCTTATGAAATCGTGTCCAGACTTTTAACAAACACGAATTTACTTTTTTTCTCTATAAAAAAAACGAGGCGCTAATAACATATAATTACAATGACAATCCTAATTGTGGATCAATTTTTCTTTTCTTGCAAAGTAGCTTTTCTCTTACTCATATAAACCATATATGACCTATTTTGACAAATATAATAATTTTATCTTTTTCCTATAAAATCTAAAATAAACATTGTCTCCTTTTTTATTTTACAATTTTATTCAAATAATAAGTGACAATAATCAATGTAGTTTTGCATGAGAAAAATAGTTTCTTATATCGTTAGTAAAGTCAAATACATTGTATAAAAATAAAGCGATGATTTTCAAAGAATTAACTCGTGTTGCATCTCTTTTAAAGTTGTCCGTTACTTTTTGTAAACTATTATAATTGACATGAAGAGAAACATTATTTAATAAATAAGTTTTAGTATTAATTAAAAACTGTTCGATATAATTTTCGTGACTGTAACGAAGATCAAGCTGAGTAAGATGAGAATATTGTATAATTGACCATTGTTGGTTATCATTCTTTTGCGGCTCATAATTATGTAAACATAATTTTTCGATAAATGGAAATGAATTGTGAATTCGAAGAAAAAATTCATGTTCAAAGGGACGTTCATCAGTTAAGTATATTCGACGAACACATTTAAATAATCCATCAGCAAAGTGATTTGTTATATAAAAATAAGATGTCCATATATATGGATATGAATAAACATGACAATGAACTTGATCCATTTTAGAAAAATACTCAACAGTTGAAATAATTTGATTATTTCGAAAATTTTTAAATGTATTTTTAATTTCATCATTTGATGGTAAATTAACTAGATTTTTAAGGAAAACAATCGAACGAATATTAAATGTGAATTTATTTAATTTTGTTAAATGATTAATAATATTCGTTTCCAAAGTATCACCATCAATTATTGGTCCAAAACAACTGATAAAAAATAAACTAAGTTCTTCTAAATTTAACATTCGTTGTACGAGTGAAATAACATCATCATAGTTGATGGATGAATTTGAATCATAGAAAAACGAAAAGCATTTTAAATTGGGCAGTTTCCTCTAGAAAGCAAAAGTAAAATTAATGAATATTCATAAATATAATTCATTCATTGAAAAACATATATTAATATGAATAACTGACTTTGTTTTTGATTTCTGGACATTTAAAACCATTATTAGAATGTGAAATCGTAACATAGAACGTATGAAGTTGATCGAAACAACCACTAAGTAAATAAAGACAATTGTTCATCGACTCTACGACAACATGCAATTCTAATAGAGTTGAAGAGATAGGAACTGGATGTGATTTACAAAAACTTAATTGTGGCTCTTCAGATGATACACTAAAATTTAAATGCCGTAAATTATTGAACATGGACAAGATTGGTCGAAATATAAATAGACCTATAAGTAACACTTGATCTTCTGGTTCTTCACATTCTTTAATATAAATAACAAGTGATGTAATTCGATTTTTGAAAAGACGAATTAAATAACTTCCATCTAAATATAAATTCAAAATTTTTTAAATTATTTTCTTATCTTTTCCTTATTAATAAATGATGTTCATTTAAATTCTCTAATAGATTATAATATATTGTCAATACTGCTTTTCTTTATCTTAATCTTCTATACTTTATACTTTGATAAGAAATATTAATTGAATATATTATAAAACAATATTTGTATTTTTGTTTCAACCCTTGTCTTTGGAATTTTCCTCAAACTCATATTCATCGGCAAATATTAGTAAAAATGATTTTATAATAAAAATCTGTCTAATAATGCAAACTCTTATTATATGTCATATACATTCAGATAAATTATTGTTATAGAACGAATCATTTGAAGCATAGAAAATATCGTTACCAATAAAGAGTTTCCTAGCTGTTTCCGATGGAATGTTATATATACCAAGTCCATGTAAATTAGGATAATTTGTTGCAAGTAGAATACGTTCCATAGATGATGATTCAACACTAAGCCATTGAATTCTAGTATTAATTTTAGGTAAAATTTCAAGACAAAATCGATCAATTATTGTGTCAGTAAATTGATATAAACTATTAAATGATGTTGTTAATATTAAATTGTTTGTAAAAATTGAATCCTTTACAATTTTATCAAATCGTTTATTAACACCAATTAAAGAATAAAGTACATCAAAATTGTGTAATTTTTTCAAAATCATCATAAGAATTTCATCAGGTAAATCATTCAATTGAATGGGTGAATGTACCATATTTGTTTTCACTTCTACTCTTTTCTCCTTTGCTTAGATATTCTATATATTCATCTTGTCTATTTGACCGATGTCGTCAATGAAAACAATGAGATATTTTTGTATGATCTAAATTGACGAGAAATGATTGAATAATTGACCGAATGATATCTCTCTGTTTTTATTCAACTTTTGTGGTTTAATATGTGTCGATAAAGAATCAGAAAATGTTTGTACCGTGGGCCGAAAATGTTCTCCTCCACGTATATTAGGTCATTCTATTTTCTTCGTTATACCTGGGTCAAATAGATTAGAGAGCAGACATAAGCGAGAACAGCCGTTTGTGGTCACGATCTCAGTCGTGGTCAAAAAAAACTTTTCGTCCTAGTTTCGTACTTTCTACCACATTTTCAAGCGGAAAATTCGATATAGTTTTCCACCAGTATCAGTAAGTTCGAGAAATCCTACTAGTATACTACAATTATACATAACGAGACCAGTTTTTTTTTGTGTTGGTTTCAGTGAGAGAAAAATTTTGGTTCTAGTCCCGGACCTACTGTAATGGCGTAACCAGGAAATTGTGGGTGCCCTACAATCTTTAAGAAAAGCTATTCAAAATAGTCGGATTCTTCTTGAAGCTCAATCGAGTATTTCAATTTTCGTTCCCTTCAAGACAGACCAAAATTGTCTCTATTATTTAATTAGGTGAAATTAAGTAGCAAAAAAATAACAGGAAAAACGTAAACAAACAACAGGTATTTCAGCATTACTCAGCTGTTTTTATGTTGGGTAGCAAAAGTATCGATTATCTTTTCATAATCAACGCGAAAATTCCTCTCAGTTGCTAGTAATGATAAATCACTAAGTCTATTATCGCACATAGTGTTACGTGCAACAGCTTTAATGAGCTGCGTTTTACTGCAAGTTATTTCGGTCATGGTAGATAATACTAGAACGGTCATCACACTGATAAGATGTGATAGAGTAGTTGGAAATGTTTGTTGTAATGGTAAGATTTCAGGATACAAATCGATTGTATTTTTCAAAGAATATGATCGATTTGTATTTTAAAGTTAATAGTCATTCAAGGACAGTTTGAATGACTATTAACTCACTAAGATTAAAAAAAAATCAGATATTTGCTTTTTTGTAGTTTGTAAACTAAAAAACGATTCAATAGTCCCATGTTTATGCTCTTTAGAAGTTTTCTTCATTTGAAAATCAGAAATTTTGGTTGTTGATACCCTATTTATAAAGTAATCATTTGCTTATTTTATCATTTGATATACAGAGTGTTCGAGAACTAATTGCCCAAAAATAAAGCTAAATATCTTCATCATATTTTAACCAAATCGGCTAATTTGTATTCTAGCAATAGAGGAAAGTTCCAAGTGTTTATTCTTCTGAAACATGTTTACACATACTGTTCAAAACTGTCAACTTTAGCTGAAATACAAAAATTTAGTTTTTTTTTGAACTCTAAAAGTATTTCTAGGGAAGAGTCCTCGTGTAATTAGAGCTCCTGAGTTCATATTTTGCCTAATAGTAGGAGATCATTATACTAAAGTAATGTCCAAAGCGCTCATGCTCTAATGAATTTTGACCGAGTTGTTGGATTTTTAGTGGATCTCAATCCAAAATTATCTGAAAAAAATTACGGAAATCTGGAAAAATCCATAAGATCCTGAAACATTCCAACAATACAAAAGAAATCGAAAAACTCTTTTAGACTTTAGAAATCCTATGAAATCCTGGATTCTTTGTTTATCTGTCATACGACCGAAGTTTTCAATAAAATTTTGGTTTTGAATTTTCACTAAAACTTTGCTCAAATAAAGTTCTTAGGTATACTAGGTCGTATTCAAAGTTTCAGAATTTTTGAACATTTTCTTTTTGAAATATGAATTTTTCAAAGTGCAGGCCTTTTTTCATTGATACCGTGCAAAACGTGTAAATTTTGAAACATTTAGTAAAATTTGATAACTTCCAACAGTATTTATGCAATGGTTTTATTAAAATAAAAATTTGAATCTCACTTATATTACTAGAATAAAAATTAGCTCATTGGGTTAAAAAATGATAGAAACATTTAATTTTTCTTTTGGTCAATGAATTTACAGACACTCTCTATAGACAAATATGAAAAGTAAACAAGTAACTGATATTGCCTGCTCATTAGTGTGTCCAGACTTTGTTCTATAAATGTCTGTTACTAATTGTCTTTTTAGAGCTATTGTATGTATAAGAAAAAAAATGAAAAACGTTCTAATGATAATTATTAGTTTTTTTCTTTTGACCAGTGCTCGAGCTAGCCCATTTCCGGTTATGCCACTAACTCACTGTTGGTCAAAAAAAATTTGTTGGTCTCGCGGACAGAAAAAACTTTGTTCCGGGATCAGGACTCTGATGACTATGCCTGTTAAAGAGTTTAATTATATATTATTATGTAGTACATCGTATGTAGCTTGTATACCATTTACTTCCAACAAAGTTTCTCTTTTTGATTTCTATTTTTTAAACAAGATGGTTCAATTATGCTGATTTTTCATAACGTAAAATTATTCTTTCAGTTTTGAAGCATTATGCACGTGCAATTTATAATTAGCGACGGCGTAATATTTTGCTTTATGATTCTATGCCATGGTGAATACATCGCAGTACAAGTCATCCGACGATGTGAATTCAAAAGGGGAGCCTTTTGTAATCGGTCACTTTGAAACCTATAAATTCTAATGGATCAAAGAGAGCAGCTGCTTTTTTCTGAACTAACGCAAGTGTTGATTTATTGCTAATTTGATTGTACACAATTTTGATAAATGAATGATATAGAAAACTTTAGTCAGTGTTAATGATAATTGAAAATAATTTGTTATCGTCAAGCTAATTGAAAGATTGATTATAAATAACATTAGTAAGCTTTTACGTCGACTAATCAAGTTCTCTTCTGTTTTTCTAAAATAACTAGAAATCCTTTTTTTTTTCTACCGAATACACATTATTACGTAAAGTTTTTATGAAATTTAGTTTTTCTAATATAGAATAATTAATATTCAGAGTTTATTTGATAGAAATGCATATGAAAAAGTAGCCTACTTATTTTTTTCATTATTAGTGTTTGAAAACGAGCGACACCAAAATTTTCTTTTTCTTTTGCTAACGCAACAAAAAGAAAATGTGAATTTATGAAATCTCTTTCGCGAAAAGTGAAATTAAAATAATGTTCTGTTTAAAAAAGAAATCATCGGTGCCGGAATTTGATAATCTTATTCGATAATATCGTTATACTGAATTAGTTCCATAGCAATATGGTTCATAAATAAGTGATATATTATTTGCAAACAATACACAACCTGGGCTAAAGCATATAGGGTGCCATATCCTAACTACTAGATCACCGAATCGAAAAATTTTTTGAAAAAAATCCTATTCAACTCAAGGACTTTGTCATAAATTATCTTAGACGTTATTTTATTCAACTATTAAAAACATATGCGAGTTATATGTCACTCTCAAATTTCTAATACATTCATTATTTAGATGAGAAAAATACAAAGTAATTCAGGATTATCATAAACACATTGATAAAAATTCTATTGAATTTCTGATGTTATTAAATAGATATTTATTACATTCAGGAAAGTGAAAACTTTTTAGTTGATTTATATTTGAAGGAAAAAACACACAAAAACTGATATGACAATATTAATATGTAATTTTTTCTTTTTGAACAAATTATTGAGCATATTGTTGTTTGATTTATGTAATTAATACAAAAAAAAGACTTTTACAAAATATATTTTATCAATACAAAACAAAAGAAGAACGTTCATATTGTAACTAATAAAAAAATTTCAATATCTATGCACGCGTTGTTTCAGTATCAAAAGTAGGATTGGTGAATGAAGTTGGTACTGTTGATTCTAGTAATCGTGTACTTGCATTAGCATCTCTAAAAAATACATTAAAATAATAAAATAATTTTAATCTAATATATAAAAATATTTTATTCAAACCTAGCGGCACGTAGTTTTTGGAACAGAAATTTATGAAGAAAAAATTATATTCAGAAAATAAACTTACACGCACTTTGGTTTGCCAAGTTCTGTTGTTGGTGGTTTACAAGTACCACCGTTATAACAATATTGTGCACATGTTACTACTACTAACAAAATAATTTTTTTTTTCTTTCAACAAAAAAAATCTTACCAGAACGAGTTGTTGTAGTTGTTCTTATAGTGGTTGTTGTTGATGGTTCTGTATATTTAGTGGTAGTTGTAATTGTTGTAATACCTGTATATCGTGTTGTAGTTGTTGAAGAACCTGTGCATGGTGTTGTAGTTGTTGTGGGCCTTGTTGATATTGTTCCATTATATTTAACGCATTGCGATGTATATGTAATATCATCTAATGCCATGATTGCGTCACGATCAACACCAGTTGTTACATCAACAACAATCTATTTAAATAAGAAAAATAAATAAATAAAAAGAGAATTTTTTTTTAAATTTTACTTCAGTTGTTCGATTTAATAAAATAGCACTGAAGGGCCCCCCACCCCTCTAAATTTTTTTTCCCCAGAACACTCAATCTTACTGAAATTTTTATTGAATATGTATCTGACCATTGATAGTTCTCAGTAAAAATTTGAGCTCATAATATTGAGTTTTTCGCGAGTTATTGTAACATCAAGGGTCAAAAGTAGGTGTCTGTGTGTCAAAGATTTTGTTTCCAATTTTAGTGATACGGACCTCGGGATGGTGTCAAAATATAGAGAAGACCTGCCCCTACAACCTAACAAAGCCGGATTTTTGAAAAAAAAAAGATTAATTTTTTTAGACAGTTTTTTCGAAAAACCTAGATCAATTTTTTAGAAAACTCGAGTTTTTTGTAAACAAATAAATTGAAAACAAAAATTCTGGCTGTGTTAGGTTGTAGCACTGATATTTACCTTCATTTTAAAACCTTCCCGAGCATTCTAACATTTAAAATGGCGGAGAAATCTTTGACACACAGTCAAAGAAAACGAAAAAAAACAGTTTCGAGAAAAACACAAAACAATTTTTTCTTTGATTATCGCGATTTTTTCGTTTAAAAATGGTAGTGAATAAACAAGAAGGCAGTTTATTATAGGTTATCGACTATGGCGAATCGTATGAGCACATGGAGAGATATGTGTGACGTAGTTTTTTTTACGTATAAGCGTCGGTCTCACGAAAAACCATCAAAAACCACTGGTTTTTGAAAAAATCTATAAAAATTACTTGAATTTAATATGTATAATGAAACTAGTGTTTTGAATCAGATATTACGAAACAAAACATTCAATTTTCTGTTGCCGAGTAGGCAAAGGAAAATTAATGACTTATTCTTGTGTTTATTGTATAAAAAAACATACAACGAAATTCGCGGGTTCATGCTCAGTCATCACCACCTGGCTCGTAAGCATCATCCTCTTCAGTTTCACCTTCTTCACTCTCTATTGATTTCAATAACTGAAGTTTTCGAAAAAAAAATTTTTTGATGCAGGAGTCTTCAGAAAAACCGTTGTAAAACCCTCAAAACCCATCGAAAAACCAATAAATTATAGTGCATTCGAAAGTAGAGATAACGGGCTATCTAACTATGTATAAATCTAAAAATCGATATTTTTGTCGAAAATTCCTTTTTTTTGAGGGGTGGGGGGCCCTTAATAGTTCTCGAAATGATCTAAATTGAGTTGAAATGCTATTTGAAATTGAAATTAGGACAAGAAAATCTTCAGTTTTTATGGAAATAATGAATAAAAAATTCTCTTTTCTATGCATATTATATTTCGTATTGGTCAAACTAAGCAAAATTGATGCTAGATTTTGAAAAGTAAAATAACAATGATTTATGATAATGATAAGCAGTATCCGACAATGATTTGGAAGGACATGCTCAAATATGTAATTAACTTGAAAGAATTATTTATGAAAATAAAGGTGATCGAATGAAAGGTACCTAATATTATGAAAAAGTTATTGAATCTTATCAAATAACATTTTCAGTCTTTCAATCTGATCTAGCCAAAACTTATAGTTACATTGCTTTTGCATATAAATCAATCGACGATTATGATATTACATTCACTTATTACGAAAAAAGCACCGGCTCACGATTCTAATCAAGCTGTAATCGATTAATACATTCAAATCTAGCAACAACTAAAATGAATATTAGTTCTACATATGTTGTAATGGAAAATTATTCAACTGCACTCATATATTATTAAAAAAAAAGCTCTCGATATTCAGAAGAGTAGTCTTGCATCTACTCATAATGATTTAGCATCAACATATAATAATATAGATTTTGTTTATGATTCAATGAGAGAATATCAAACTGCACTTTCTTATTATAAAGAAATTTTAGTTATTCAATAAAAAACATTTGAGATTCGACAAATGTCTCTTTCATTAGATTGTCTTGAGTTAGCAGTTAATCATTATAATTTAGCTAAAACATATGAATATCATAATCGATATAAAGAAGCTATTGATCATGTGCAACAAGCTATTAATATAGCATGATAATCAAGACTATCTATATGACCTTCTTCAAAAGTTGTAGTTTCTACTTTAACTCAAATAAAAGTCGAGAATATTGAGTTATAATATGTTGAAGAACATTACTAACGTTTTTTTTTTAATATAATAGATTCAATATGAAGTTTATTGACTTATGTTAATACAATAAAATGACTTATGAGGGAACATCGACAAGTGTCCACATTCTTTTGAGATAATATTTTGCCTATAAGTAGACTTCGATAAGATACGAAAAGCTTTTAAAAAGTTTTTACTTATGAAACTGTGTTATGTTAGACTTTCTAAAAGTGTGTTGCCATTACTTTCATGTACACGGGCACAAATCCTTTAGTGACTTTTTATAATTCACTAATACCAACTTATGGACAAAATATTAGCTAAAAATGATGCAGATACTCGAGAATGTTCTGTTGTTAGTTATTCAACGAAGTAGAAAACTAAATAATTACTTTAAAGATATATCGATAGCATAATATTTCTATTGATGTAGAACATCAAGAAAAATTTCTTTCTTTTCTTATTTACCATACGCATTTTTTTTGCGCAGGATTATTCACATAAACCATATGTTACATTCTTATGATGTTATACAAAAGAAAGAGTAATTATTATCTACTAGACCTTTCCTATTATTGCTAAAGCAGATGTTTTATCAAATTAACGAAAAGTACAACATTTTTTCTTTCGAGTTATCGAACGAAAATATTATAAAAACAGAATCATCTTAACTATTCACTTTATGATTACAACCAATCATAGCTAAATTTTTATCTTTCATTTTACTAAGTAAAAACTCTTGTTTAAGCTATTATTTTAAAACTATTAGTTATATTATTTAGATTTATACAGTTATTTGTATTTCATTAGTTCATCAAAATCATAGAGAATCATGGTTTTATGGTTTTATACGACTATTTATTACTTCAACAAGTATTCGTGCAAATAGTACGGCACAAACAACATATCTTGCTAAAACTATTGTTCTTGTCAATGATTTTCAAGCAAATTTAGCATATAATTGTGTTTTAGAAATAGAATCAACAAATCTTGTTTCTTATCTAAAAAATTCTACTAATTAAGCATTATTATATATTAATTGTACAGCTTTTGTTAATGGTGTGAAAACAACGAAATTAATAGACAGAACAACTGCATGTACAAGGCAACAAATTGTAAAAGATAGTTATCAATGATTTTGACAAGTTTTTTGTGTGATGTAACTGGCAGTAACAGATCCAATGACTTGGATAGTAATAAACATTATGGCTATTATTAATTTTACTCTTCACTCTGTTTATTTTGATGAGAATAAATAAAATAAAATTGTCTTTATTTTCAATGAATATTTTTATCTATCAAAAAAGTATTTTATTTTTTGTCACTAAGAAATACCAAGGGTACCATGATCTACATAGTAATATTGAGATACACCACCACTCACTGGACTCCAAGTTGTCAAATCGAAACTTCCAGAACCCAATTGACTACCGGCTATTTTATATACGATTACAGCTTGTCGATTACGATACCAATGAAGAGGTGAACCACTAACACAAGTTTCTGGCGTGTTAGGAGAACCATTTTGACTTAAGAAAAAAGCAGTACCAGAGCCAAAAACTTTACTTTTACCATCGTTTTCTATACATACAGCCGTCGATTCATCAACACCAATGCCACGACCTACGACTCCATATTCTTTATTCATACGTGCTAGAAATGTAACAAGACGACCAGTTCGATCACGACTGCTAAAATGACTGTCAGTAATAACATTTGATAAATAAGGTAGAGAAAGAAAATCATTGTAACCTAAAGTAACATATGTATGGTAAGGATTGGTGAGAGCTTGACTGGACGTTACTGAGCCCTTAAGTGCTGAAAAATAACTTTGACCAAGAATAGCACATCCTGCTGATGTACCTCCAATCGGAACTTTTTTGACATTTCGTAAATAATTTAGAGCATCTTGTACTTTAGTACCTTTCCAATAGTTAACATAATCAGCTTGATCACCACCAGCAATAAATAGTGCTTCAGCTCCACGAATTTTTGTATCAACTTCAGGATCGTTAGCTAAAGTAGGTGAATTGATTAGTAGAGTTTCAACTGAATTGGCGCAGCCTAAATCATATATGTAACTATTGTATGCATCAGTACCACTTGCTCTTATTACTACAAAATCACCACAACCTGATTTATTGATCATCCATTGCATAGCTGCATCAACATCAGTACCACCACCAACGAGAACAGTACCTCCAGATGTTGACCGTGTTACACCAGTACTATTACCAACAAGGCCTAACGAAGGCTTACCTTTTGCTTCACAAAGGAACGATAGTGCACTGAGCAAAACATTATATACAATAAATTTGATGCAATCCATGCAAAGATATTTTGTTATAAATGACGCGAAATGAAAAAAAAAACAACGTCGTTTAATAAGAACAAAAAAGAAAGATTGGTAAAAGCGAAAATATACGATTGACGATAAGTCTAATAATGTTTTTATTGATCTAGAAATCAATGAAATTAAAGATATGCTTTATTCAATTGCTGTTCATTAAGAAAAGTGTGGTATTACAGAACCAATATATACATTTACTTGTAGAATTTATGCGAATGCTTGTTTGTTTACCAACAGAATAATTCTGTAATATATCGACGTTGTTATACAAGTGAGAATAAAGCAATATATGGCCTTATATATATCTCGAAATAAGTTTAACTTTTGTGCATAGGTAAATATATGTAGATTAATGAAGCATGAAATATTTATCCTATTCTACATTTATTTCATACAAATATTATCATCGTTTTGCTTGCTCTATCCTTCATCGTTCACACAGGTTAATCAAAAGTGATGAAGAGTCAGTTAAATAGTGCTAAAATGTGCGCTGTACTCCTCAATAACGTACTTATTTTTGCACTCATTGCACAGAACGAACAATATATTTAGTTTTCTCTAGCCATTATTTCTCAACATGATCTGTTTATTTATTTTCAACTTCTACCATTGTAAAAAATTGATAGAGAATAGAACAAATCACTTAAGAGGATTCCCCTTTTTCTGATCTGAAAAAATTTTTTTTTTCAATTTTAATATTTTCATTTCTAAAAATGTATTGAAGTGTTCTCTATCTCAAGTGCTGTAGAAATCAGAACTATGCCAAGCCATGTAAGTCCTTAAAAAGCTTATTTTTAAGAATTCTGATCTTTACAAAAACCTACGGATTTTTAAATGACAGCTTTGTGAGTTTAAATTGTTTATTAATTCTATGAATATTTCTTGGCAACATCTCTTTATATTCATATTTGATGCGAAATAAATGATAATCTGTAATAATTTGAAATAAGCGAAAGAGAAAAAAGATACATGTATAAAAACAAAATTTTACTTTCTTTTGTAAGTTTTTCGAAGCCGATCTTTGAACAAAAAATGAAGTTTTTTTTTTCTCTTTCTTTCAGCACAGTATCTCGATCGGGCTCAACTGTTTTCTAATGAGTACTTTGATCAATTTGGAGGGTAAGTTTTCTTTTTTCTTCAAAATGTTATTCCTACGAAATTTGGCAACCTTTAAAAAATTAGTACCATTGAAAAAGAAACATATTCTTTGACGTTGTGAGTGTGAAGACAGGATTCATAGTCATACTTATACCAACACCCACATCCACATCCTCAAGATTGATGCACAGGATAGAAAAATAGCAGATAAAATGTTGGTAATGAATCATATTCATAGATCTCATGAGTCGTCATACCTCCCAGTTAGATGTTCTTATCAATGAAAAATAACTCACTGTTTATCTCAAATAGTGTGCATTCTATTTTATATTACATTGCATCAAGTCAAAGGGGAAGAATAATTGAGTCTATAGAGATTTTGTTTGGATTACAAATATCTAAGTATGTATCGCTTTATATTGCTTCTTGTATTAGGTTTCATATATGTATCTTCGGTTGTCATCAAATAGAATTTAGACGCCTTTATAGTATAAACCCGTTGTTCTATGATTGAGAAAATTGATTGAATGTCGTTATTCATTTTAGATCTTATCTAGAACAACACACAATAACATGAATCCCTTCGGTGACATCTTACGACAGTTAGTTAATATTCGTCATTGTCATTAAATTCCTATGCTTTGTTTTTAGATCATCGGATCTCTTACAGAAAGAAGAAACTCTAACAATCGATGGTACACCTATCAGACTCGAAGATCTTCCCAATGAGCTTTGGCTCGAGATAATATATTATCTGAATGTGTAACATATTTACCGAGCGCTTTTCAGACTCAACCAACGAATTGATGGTATTTTACGCTCGCTCAACCATCTTGCCTTTACTGTCCCTCAAACTTTAAGCGGCTGTGACCAGTCGATAAAATTTTTTGGCGATTGCATCGATAGATTGCGATTAACCTATGTTGAGCAGAATGACACTTATCTGACTAGCTTTCTACATATTCGCTCATTACATATCGTATGTGCATCCAACCATGAAGTTTATTCCATTCTGAGTAGGTTTCATCATTGAGTATCACTCAATATTTGTTTTATATTAATTGCATTGTTTTCTCTCAAATCTATACTAGTAAACAAGATATTTTCCAATGGCTTTCCACGACTCGAAAAATGCATTCTTCCATGCATGGTTCGGGAAATAACATCAAGCAAGCTTTCTACTAGTATCCGTTCTTTAAGTATTATGAGCTGCCAGTCAACCATCTATGCGAATGTTCTCCGTTGCTGCCCTAATCTTGCTCGTCTTTCAATTGGGATCAACTCGTTAAAGAATATACCGATTATAGATCCTTTGATTCCTTTTAATCATCAACTCAAGTTTCTGATGATTACCATTCCAGATTGGTCCGATGCTTCATCTGTAAAAAATTTTCTACGTTATGTATCCGCCCTTGAACAACTTTCTCTTCAAAGTTATTCACGAACGGTCATTAACTTTGTTGAAATAGCGGATATTCTACTTGAATGCGTGCCTCGACTGCAATGGTTTCGATGTGATTTCGTAATGATTAATAGAAATTCAGTGCAAACAGGTAACATTCGCCAACTACATCCGTGTTTTGCAAGCATGAAATGTGTTGATCGTTTTCATGATCATGTACGAATTATCACCAGCAACAACTATCATCTCACGGAAATAAATTGAAGTTCAAGTCTATCAAAAAGGACAATAAATGAACTTTCTGTTTGGATATGAATTTTCTACGAACTGAAAACACGATTTGTATTTCATTTTATCAATGTTTTCCTAAAATACGGAAGTGTCACATGAAAGCTTCATTCATGCTCATTCGTAAGAAAAGTATCCTATTGGATTACCAATAACATCAAGCATAGTTCATGTCATCTAGTATTGTGTTTCGAAAAGAATCATCGATGATGATCGAATGAGTTTAACTTAATAATATTACAGCGTCGAAATAACAAGTGTCAGCTAAAGTTACCAAGAATATGAATGCGATTCTTTTGCTTATCCACATTGGTATTGCGGTTCCACCATCTTTAGCGAGAAAATCTCTCAAGTTTTGCCATTTTCTGCCGAGCTGTTGCAGTGAAAACATTTTCCCGATAGTCTCTCTATTCATCTGTCGGAATGGCTGATATTCGTACTAGACTGTCTAATTTTATTTCACTTGTTTAAATAATTTTGAAACTATTGTATCAGTCAAATCTCTAAAAATATCACGTTGTGACTTCGTTCTGACACATTAACAACAACATATCGATTCAATTGACATTTGAGTCTATTTATCGTCCATTTTTATTTTGCTCTTTAAGAATAATGAATTCGATAAATCACGTTGGACAATGGAGGAACTTGACTGAGACGATCGACAATCTCTACTAGAGTGAGTGGAAGACAACGCTTCAAACAGAATGATGATCAGGTGGTGTATAAAAAAGACGTCATTTAAATGCTACGGTATGAGTTCGTTTAAAAAACGATGTAAAAACTTTTCGTTATATAGCAAATATTATTTGATAAAATGAACACTACTTCATAAACTTTAATTAAAATTCTGTCATGTTCATTGTAGAAGAGTTACGACAAAACAGAAGAGAGATTGTAATCGTAAATTTGCTCTTTTCTTTGATATATGAGCAGCAAGAAAGATGACAAAAGAATGAAATCTAAAAAACAATATACTCATAGCAAGGTACGTAGAGAAAGAAAATACATGAAATCGTTACGTTCCTCTCGTGACTACTGTAATACATTCCACTAACACGCGTGTGAAGCGCAGATAAGAAGTATTAGGAGAAGAGAATACTACCATCCACACACACACCCTTGACATGAATAATAAAGATGATTCTTTTTATGAAGAGATTGTCAATAGATTCCAACAACCAAAATTGATGGAAATGCACTTAGCATTGACATTTATCGATGCACGAAACAATGCCGTATTTATCGGACTCTTTGGCCTATTGTTAGTATGATTTGGATAAAAAAAAAAGGTTTTCAGTAGGTACTATTTCAACACAGTAAAATAGAATTTTGCTTTATCGTTTACTATTGAATTAGATGGTTACTCAATAGTTTTACAAAAATTTCCAGCATACTTAACTGATCATCTTCGTGACCGTATTTTAAATTAGGATGTGTAAACCAAACAACAATGGATGTTTGTAATATATGATCCATGCACATTGATGAAGCTTTTTGAAGAACCAATAAAAATATGATTTTTATGTGTATTTATTATTCAATTTTTTTTCGTTCCTATCCTACATTTTGCTGATGCATGAGGCCATAGAATATAAATAAAAAGTAGTGAATTTTACAGCTCGTAATTAAGAAAAAAACTTGATTACTTAATAGAACAAATCATTCAAAAATTAGTCTTAACTATTCTGTGTTGGTACAATCAATTATTTGAAGAATGCAAAATTTATCAATGGATTAGTGACTAGTTGCCCGAAATTTGATATAACACTAATACATATTTTTATTAATTAGTTATTAAAAAAAATTTTTTTTTCACTGATTATAAATTCCAGATCAACTCTGCTGTTAAATGCATAGACAGTTTATATGTAAAGAAAATCATTTATCGAACACAAATTTTTAAATAATAAAATAAAAACGAATTTTTTAGGATATTCAGACACATTTTATTAAATCAGTTTTTCTTTCAGGGTAAAATTTACGCATTGAACGTATCATCCTACATTATGTAATGTAACACCACTTTCACATTTGTTTTTTTTTTATTTAATAATTCTTTTTATTTCTCTACAAAAAATATGAAGTTTTGTTGTTGATTAGATTTTACGAAACTTAATAATCTTTTTCATTCTTCTACGTCAGTACGTTTCTACCTTTATCGAGGCCATAAATCTTCTTTATTTATAATATATACCATGAAAAATAAACAAAGAGATCATAGCATTCTTTTGTTCACTATTCAATTTTTATTGAAATATCCAATAGGACTTGCCTTAGATGCATCACTTAATTTGTATGTTGCCGACACTGTTAATCATCGCCTACAAAAATTCCGACGTCTTCTTTAAAACTTAAAATGTTATGATTTTTTGTTTTCGTTTTTCACTTTATTGATGCATGTTGCTCCTTTGAATAAACATTGATTAGATAAGCTTTAAGGTTCAAGAAATATGGGGTGAAGTGTGGCTGTGACTGTTGTGTTGTTATAAACAGAGACACCTCACACCCACACCCTTACTGAGTAGTAATTGCAGATATAGGGTGGTTCAAAAGTAACGAAACAAAGTAAGGAAACATCGAATTCTTTCCAATTTTTTTGTTAATAGATAGATAGTCAGATCTCATATTTGAACCACATATACCATATGCTAATTGTTAGAGAAGCAACCTGGTATGAACTTTTGCTCTTAAGATTTTATTGAAAACTGCAGAAATGTTTCTTTTGTACTCTAAAATAATTATTGGAAAAGTTTAGCGTTTCTCTGTCTTATTTTGTTTCTATCTTTTAGTCTGTTGATATCAAATCTACAGGATGATTTAAATTCTATTGATTCTTACGTTGTTTTAGACTTCTTGCATAGAAAATGACTCAAAAATGGAGTACAACGGAAAGAAACCAATTGAATTCGGTCAGAAAAAAATCAAACTTCAGTGACAGTCATATAGGAGTACACGACAGACGTTCGAGTGTTTTCCAATGAAACCTTAAGAGCACCTGAATAATTGTAGGCTGCTTCTCTGAGTATTATCATATAGTATATGTGGTTCAAATATGCGATCTGCCCGTCGATCTATTAAGAAAAAAAACGAAAAGAATTCTGTGTTTCCTTACTTTTGGGTCATCCTGTACAGTGATATAAATTGTAAGCACGATCGTGTGGCTAGACCGCGAGTTCTCTTTAATAGAAAAATTCTATGTTGTTCTAGTCAATAGGAACCTCTAGGTTGATATGTTTGATGTTCATTAGAGCACACGCGGCGAGTGAATTCATCGGCACAAGCCATTCGAAGTCGTTCCACAGTAGCTGGTGAATGAAGTGTGAAATAATCTTGGAAACCTTGATCTTGTCGATAGGCCATACAAGCTTGTTTGAGTGCAAAGAAAGCTGAAGTAGCAAGTAAGATTGGTGGTTCACCAATACCCTTCGATGAATAGATAGCTCGTGGATTTGACGAGTCCGATAAAAGTGAAACGCGTAGATCAATTGGAACATCACTAAACGATGGAATTTTATATGTATCCGGTCCGCAAGTAATCAGTTCTCCTGGTTTAATCCATTTATGTTCTGTATGATCACCCCAAATGAGTTCTTCCATGGTAAACAAACCAACACCTTGCATATATGCACCTTCAATTTGACCAATATCGATAGAAGGATTCAGTGACTTGCCAACATCCTATTATAGAAAAACAGTAAAAGCTTCTCAATCGAAAACAAAACAATTCTAGTTGGGAAATTTTCAAAAGAAATATACATTCAAAACGGAAATTGGACGAAGATCATCAATTCTATTTACTAGTTCAAACAAGAAACAATTTTTCTAATATGTCAATCGACAAAAAAATACATTAGCATGAACATACCATGAGAATGTCCACACGTAATAGATGCCAGTCACCTGTCAATGTGTCCAATTCAACTTCGGTGACTGCAGCACCTTGTGTAAAATAATTGCAAGTAGCTCGATTTTGTGAAAAATCCACGTCAAACATTCCTGGTGTTGCATAGAATCCATGTGCACATAGATCGATACGAGCGAAATATGCTTGTTTGATAAGATCTTCCCATGAAATAGGGACATTTTTATCAACCAAAAGTGTATCCAATCGTTCACGAAGTTGTTCACACGCATGTCGAACAGCCATGCCATTGAGATCTGACGAAGCCGAACCTCCTGTTGTAGTTGTATTATGTACTTTATCTGTTGACGTTTCACTGATACGTATTCGATCGATATTGCAACCTAGAACTTCAGCTGCTATTGATATCATCTTTATATGTAATCCTTGACCAATCTCCACACCTAAATATCGAAAATGGTTCATTTTATTTCATGGAATAGCATTCTAGATTCATATTTCTACCTCCATGACTGAGTAGCACTGAACCATCTTTATAGATCAATACAAGGGCTCCAGCCTGATTGAGAAACTGTACCGGGAAGCCAATACCATATTTTGCTGGTATCATACAGAGACCACGTTTTCGATAGATATTTGTACGATTGAATTCATTGACATGTATTTGTCGTTGGAAGAAATCACTCGAGCGACTAAGTTCTTCTAAGATTCGAGGGACATTCCAGTGTTCTAATGCTTGTCCATAATGTGTCAGTTCGCCTTCTTTAAAGAGATTAAGATGACGAATCATCAATGGATCACGTTTAAGATATGAAGCAACATGTTCAACAACGTTTTCACAAGTTAACATTGCTTGTGGAGCACCAAAACCACGAAAAGCTAAAATCGTCAAAAGTTACTCATACTTTCACGTAAAATTAGTTTTTCATATTCAAACCTGTATTAGATGGTAAATGTGTTTTGCAAGCATAACCACGAATTCGTATATGAGGAAATCGATAGCAATTACCCATTTGAAGCATTGCCCACTCCATGATGGCGCTTGATGTATCCAAGGAACAACCGCCATTGTTCCACATTCGAATATCAAGCGCGCAGAATAGGCCTTCGTCAGTAAAACCAACTTTGTATTCGATTTTGAATGGATGTCGGTGTCCTGTTATAGAAATATCAGTATGACGGTCAAGAGTGAGACGAACTGGACGACCAGTTTTCACGGCAGCTACTGCGATAGCAGCACACGGGGGTATTCTAAACAAGATCATCATGGACTGTATCTGAAAACATACAACAAATAAAAATTTACGATCGTGATTCTTTGCCACCAAATGCACCACCGATTCGTTTGACGTGACACGTGATACGACTAACATCTCGGCCAAGTACTAATGCGATCAAGTCTTGAGTAGTACTCGGATTTTGTGTACCTAAGTATAAAGTTAATTCTTTATCGTCGTTTGATGGTATCACCATATAACTATTGGATTCTAGATAGAAATGTTCTTGACCACCAATCCATAGTGTTTCTTCTAATATATGTTTGGCATCGGCAAAACCCTTATTCACATCTCCTTGTCTAAGACACATTTCATCACCAAAATAAGATTCATTGTGAATGGCATCTTGGATTGTTAATATTGTTGGTGTTAACAATTCGTATTCGATTTGAACTAGTTTAGAGGCCACAAGAGCTTCTTGTTCAGATTCACAAACAACAACACCAATAATAGCACCAATACATGGAGCAATTGATGATACGAAAACCTCCTCATCTAGTTCCATCACACCTATTTTATTGGAACCCGGTACATCTGAATAGCTAACAAATGATACGAAACCGGGTACTTGAGAGGCAGCTCCAATATCTACCATCATAGTGTTTACTATCAGATAAATATGCATAAATGAGAAGATTCTTACCGATATTTTTTATTTTAGCATTAGGTTGTGTACTAAGTACAAGTGCAGCATGCAATGTATTGATTAATGATGGCATATCATCGATGAAGATAGCCTTTCCAGTCGTTTGTAAATAGGCTGATTGATGTGGTAGTGAAGTACCTACGGTTTTTTGTGAAGAAGGTCGTTCAGGTATGGTCTGTTGGCCATGCGATATCGATCGATGAAAAGGACGAGCAATAGAAAGAAAGCTCGAATCGGTTGTCGATAGACGCAATTCAACACAGACATAGGCATAGAATTTGAAGAGAAATGATTGAACTAGTGTTCGTCTAAATGAACAATTAAAACATCGATTTGTAATCAACGTACGTAAATACAATAATATAGTCTGTAGAAGGCACTGAGGATAGAAACATTTAATTTCTAGCTAACTAATTCTATTTGCATAGATAATTTTTGATTTCTTCTTCTATGTGTTGTTAAAACACCGAGCTAATTGCTTAAGAAAGGTTTCCACAACTTCTATTTTATGTTAGGTTTAATTTCAGAGATAGAGTCTCTTCACATTTTCCTTGCCAATATTTTCGACAAATTCGCTTTTGTCAAAAAAAAAAAGTGATTTGATTTCATTTTTGCACAGTATACACAATCTATTACCTATATTCAGATTGGCCACCTGGAGTCTGCTCATCAAGTGGCAACTCTTGCAAGATTAATTTGAAGGCTTTGTTAATTGTTATTCTCGTCCAAGCTAGTCCAACTAATTGTTGTTGAGTGTTTTTTGCCATGATTGTTGTTGATGACATTCCACCAAATGACAAACAAATTGAAATAATCTGCCATTGACCATCGAGTGAATCCAATTGCTCTAGTTGAACTTGAAATCCAGCACTAACAATTCCTTTAGAATCATCTCGCCGACGTGCTTGTTTGTATGATCGAAGAAACCATTTACTCGATGGATTCGGAAGAGGAATGTGAATGGCAACAAGAACTTCATTGTCAGCCATTGATACACGACCATTGCCGAGAAAAAAATCGCGCAATGAGATGTAACGTGCTTCAGTACTATCAGCACGATGCAATTCAAGTTCAGCACCGGCCGCTTGCAATACTGGATTGATATCCGAACTAGAGAAACAAAAAAAGAAGACAAAAATAAAAATGTACAAATTCTTTCTGATTATTAATCTACATCGATGAAGCAGTGATAACATTGCCACCGAGCGAAGCAACATTTCGTATCTGTGTCGATGCAAAATATCTGAGTTGATCGAGTAGAGCTTGACAAATGCCACCATCGTTTATCTTTTCATTAGTCCATTCAATCAACTTCAACTTCAATCGTGTAAATGTGCTACCTGCACCAAGATAGAATTCATCTGCTGTTCGCTTAAGTTGTTGTAATTCTTCGATATGTGTAAGAGAAATGAGACATGTATGTTTGATTTGCTTGAATTTTCTCTCTATTTCTACTCGAGTATTGCCAAAAACAAGTTTTGATGCATCACCACGATAAGTGTGACGAAGTTGAAGTAGTTCACTGAGTGATAGAGGACGATACCAATCGATTGATGAACCTATGCATAGAAAAGTCTAATGAATGCATTATTTCACTGAGATTTTACCCATAATATGAAGCGATTGAGGAATATAATGACGTAGCTTTTCGGGAAACTCTACTTGACTCAATGGCAATGAATTTTGCTTGGCAAATGAAAGACATTTATCGAATGTAGTTGATGTGAATGGTAATGATTCTTCATGAGGTAATTTGTCTATGTCGCTTGCAAATGTTTTTGCAGTATCAAGAATAGGTCGATATCCAGTACATCGACAAAGATTACCATCCAAAGCTTCTTCAATATCTTGTATAGTCGATAATTCATTATTTTTTGATGTACCAGTTCCATAGAGTGACATGACTACTCCTGGTGTACAGAAACCACATTGTGAACCGAATAATTCAACAAGACGCGATTGAATCGGATGTATATTGGACTTGTTCATTGAGCCCAATCCTTCTACAGTCACAATATGACATCCATCAACAGAGCACAGAGGTGCTAAACAGGCATTCACCGTCCGATGTTCTATTTCGTCAGAACTTCGATTGATAGATTGTGAAATAAGAACGGTACATGCGCCGCAACCACCTTCACCGCAACCTAATTTAGGACCAGTAAGTTTCAGTTCTACAAATCAAAAATCAAAATATACCCACTATTTATATCCATTTCTTATTTAGATCACCTACTATTTCTCAGATACCAAAGTAGAGTCCAGTCAGGTTCAGCATTATGCTCAATAATTTCTTTTCCATTGACATAGAACAACAGAGAGTTCATTGATTTGGACTGCGATTCTGATGTTGTATCATCTTTAGTCATACTGTTAGATTGATCATATGTGTATACAAATGTGTCCTTTTTTCTCAATTGTTAACCATAGTGCATACGTAAAAGTATAAGTGTCAATATTTACAGTAGATAACAGTAACACAATCCTGTATTCGACATGTAGCTCTTTTATGTATTGATGTGAGGTGTGATAGTGGATATGAATGTTGGTTCGTTCTTTGTGCAGGCACACATTACATACTTCATAACCTTTATTGCATTTACCTTGACAAAATATAATGTAAACATACCATCTCTACGTGTTTCTGAAAAATACTTTCGATTGATCATTTAATCATTTATATGATTCATTATATACAATCATAACGGAATTAAATTCAAATGAAAACACGTTTTGGTACGATCAATTCCAACAGTGAATGCTTTGCTCTTTTACATCCTTTTTCGGGGACAGATGTCGTAAATCATCTATTCATACATAGATATCGAATTTCATATTAATATTTGTTAGCAAATCATATTGTGATCTTTCTTTTGAGAAGTGTCTTTGCTCTGTTTTTTGTTGAACAATACCAAAAGTTCGAACGACTGTATCACCGATATTGAGCATCAATATAGCCGCATATTGTCACTAATGTTATTTGTTTTACAAATCTGTCTTATTCGAGAACTTTTCACGTTAATTATTGATTGTAAGCATAAATTCATCTACATTATGTGGACAGCTTCTTTTTTTTTTACTTTTGTTGATCTTACGATTGGGATTTACTGGAAAAATAGTTATCATTATTATATAGCTTGGCTTCTCTATTGTAGGAGCGCACCATTGAATCTTTTGACTGTTCATGATGTCATAGTTCCCAGAGGATATCAACGTCATGTTCACAATGATACTATTAATATGTATATACGAACCAGACACAAACAAATGAAAATGAAGTTAAATCTTGGAAAGAATTCATTTTTCTGATCTGGTGATTGGCTACTTCATTTTCGATCTGTTTATTTTCGGCTCTGTAGAATATATATACATCTGATTCTTGTCAAATTTTATCGTGTTGTATATATAAATTTTGTTTTTTCATTCTTTGTGTCGAAAAACTCAATAAACTTTGTATATATATATACATCATGTTTTCATTTTGTTTTCCTCTTATTTATGTATTATTTCATCGATAAGATAATATTCGGCATTTTAACCTGACAAATTTGCTAACACATGATCATCAATAGTAACATTTTAATCCTTGAAAACTCGATGAGACTTTGGAAAAACTAAGAAAGAAAAACAACTTGTTTTTGAAATTTTATTTGATCAAATGTCCAAAATAGTTTCTTTGTTTATTTAGATTCGATTGCATTCGTTGAAGCTATTTATCGAAATCTATTTTTTAGTTTGTAGGTCCCACGCCCTACACTACATACGAGCGTCCCATATTACGTATCTTCACAACACTCCAAACTATAATTAAATAAATATAAAGTGATAAATCATCTGATGACGCTCTGACACAGCAGAAACAATTTCTTCTATTCATCTACAAGCTCTCAAGAACCTATTCTTATGCAAAAGGGTAGAAAAATATTCGAAGATTCGTTGAAGATTCTACGATCATGGACATTTCTATTGAAGGACAAAGGACCAATTTGAATTAAAATGTCAGATCAAAGCTTTCAAGTATCGGATAGATCAAAGGCTGAGAACGAATAACAAATTAGTGTATAAATACGAAAAAACCGCGTGATATTAAACAGAGAAGCAAACAAACAGTAGTGTGTGTCATATACAGGTTGATTACGTTATTTTTAATAATTTTGTGTCGTTTGCTGGATTTATACAATACATCAAAAATTTTTTATTTCAGCACAGTTGGATAGGGCTTGAGCTCCTCTATCAAAACATATAATTTGTTTATTAGTTTCTCATGCTCTAGTCCAAAATTTGGATGAGTCTAAAACGAGTGCTAAGAAAAATTTTTGAAGGTTGTTGTCACGATTATTAATAGTTTTATTTTCCATATATAGACAGCCTGTTGTATACTCAATAGAATTTCCGATCGCACGTGCGCATCATATATTGAACGATTTTTTTTCTTTCCTCGCTATGACAGTTATAGCCTTTCTCGTTAGATCAATTCGTTCAAATTCATCAAATTCATTTCAAATAAATGCCACGTAATAAAATATCCGACATTGTCGAAGGGCGTATTTTGCAACTATTTCGTTGGGGATATTCTCAGTCTCTTATTGTGAACATTTTGAAACTTGATGGTATACATGTATCTCAACCTACTGTGTCAAATGTCAAACAAAAGATCGGTCGTCAAAGAAATTCCGAATCAAAAATTAAAATTTTTCGAAAGAAGCCATCACAAACACCTTCTATTATTAAGAAGGTTATTGAAAAGATTGATGTTAAAGAACCACCAACTCAGCGTGCTATTGCTAAAGACCTTCACATTAGCCAATCGACTGTCTCGAACATTATCAAAAATTCTGGATTCACTCTTCGAAAGAAACAAAAAGTTCAAAAGTTAACATCATCGAATGTTATGAAACGTGGACAACGATCATTTAAACTTTATCGTCGATTAGCACGTGGTCGATATAAGAACTTCATTACAACCGATGAAACCTGGTTTTATTTAGATGAAACTAGTGGGAGAAGGAAAGTATGTTATATTAAAAAGACTGATCCCGATTATGATCGAATGATTATTCAACAAAACACTTCTCGACCAAAAGGCTTCATGGTATGGGGAGGTGTATCAAGTCAAGGAAAAACTACACTTCGTTTTGTTACACCTGGTACGAAAGTTAATTCAAATTATTACATTAACAATGTTTTAAAACCATTTTTAACAAAAGATGTTCCACGTTTATTTCGAAAAGGAAAAAAATTAAAATGGATTTTTCATCAAGATTCAGCACCAAGTCATACTGCAAAAGAAACAATTAAATTTTTGGAGCAGAATAAAATTCATTATATAACACCACAAGAATGGATGCCTGCTAGTCCTGATGCTGCACCAATGGATTATTCAATTTGGGGACATTTAAAACAACAACTTAATAAAACACGTATTGATTCTATTGAGGAACTTAAAAAGAAGATTTTATATGAGTGGCGAAAGATGAGTCAGACGTATATCGATAAAGTATTAGCTTCCTGGCCAAGGAGAGTCTTGAAGATTTATCAAGCTCGAGGTTCTCATATCGAACATCGATTGTAATTATCGTTTTTTTACGTTTTTATATATGGAAAATAAAACTATAAATAATCGTGATGATGACTCTTAAAAACCTTTTTTTTACACTTGTCTGAGATTTAACGAAATTTTGGGCTAGAGCATGAGAAACTAATAAACAAATTATATGTTTTGATAGAGGAGCTCAAGCCCTATCCAACTGTGCTAAAATAAAAAATTTTTGATGTATTGTATAAATCCAGCAAACGACACAAAATTATTAAAAATAACGTAATCAACCTGTATTTTTCTTTCTTTGAAAGTGCGTAATTTAACTTTCACATCTTTTGACTCCTATCTAACTTCACCTGTGAGAAATTTCTTTTCTATTCTCATCTTTTCTTCTTTCCTTTGACACGTGCTTTTTCTTTTCTTTTGATTCAGTTCTGTTCACTCAACAACCTGCAAAAGTGAAGTTTGCAACTTTCGCAATATTCTGACGCCATTGATTGTAAAAGGTGCAGTATTACTTCTTCAAATTACACAATTTGACAAAGGCCTTTGTTTATCAGATCATGGTCGACTTTATTTTCATCAATGGTTCTCCCGGTACTGGCAAATCCTCTGTTTGTGAACTCATTCAGCAGAATAAATCATGGCCTTCAATTGACTTTGGCTGTCTCCGTGTGTTTCATTTGGATCGAGAATGGTCAAACGTCTCAGCTGACGAAGAACAAATGTCGTTTGAAAACTTAGTATTCATTCTAAAGAATTATTATCGCTATGGATATAAGAACGTCCTAATTAATGATCTGACAGATACGAAAATAGAGCAATTACCAAACTATTTATCGCACGACGAATTCAAATATCTAATTGTGACTCTGATTGTGAATGACGATGAAATTTTGAAACAACGTGTTCTGGAACCGACGCGAGATAGTGGTTTTCGTAATTTCAAACGTTCAATTGAATGGAATGGAATTTTGAAAACCAGAGAATTGTATAGAAATGAAGTTAGGTTGGATAATACAAAGATGACAGTGAAGGAAACAGCTGATCGAATTTTGGAGATTGTAGATGAATTTCTACAAAACAATTAGATAAAAAGACGATTTCAAAACTTCTACGGATAACTACCGAACGCAATTCATTTTGATTTTACGTCAAAATTTGTTGTACATGTTTCTTTCAGCATTTTTAAAAATATACTTGCTTGTCTTTTTCGTTTCAAATAGAAATTTGTTTTTTCGTGCTCGCTACTCTTTATCAAGATACTGCCGATGAATTTCAAGTCGAAAGATTGTGATAGACTAAGAGGAACAGGGTGAAGATAGGTGTGGATGTGAGGTGTAGGATGTGGAGTGAGTGTGGCTTGGATACGATTGAATAGAAGACAACAATACCCACACTCTGTCTATGGTATTTAAGCTACTACTTCTAAGAAACAAAATAATTAGATTTATACAGATACATTTAAATAGAAGAAAGAGATTCAAGATATTCTACCAATTGATGATAGTCCTCAAAGCGATTTTTTTCCGAATTAAGACAATTTTCTATAATAACGATGACGTATGCTTTTTGCTCTTGTCTTTGGACATCATTTGCAGTGGTTTGACATGTTTCAAATTCATTTCGAGAAATATAAAATTGTGTATGCGCTTTATCAAATGACCAACTTGTGCTCTTAACTTCGAAATAACATGTCTTGATTGTCGATCCTGTTCCTCGTACAAATTATTCCTGTGTATCATGTAATTTAAAATCACAACCCACCAAATCATACACCTTACGTGTATGTTGTGGATAAACGACGAGACATGATGATGAACGCCAATTTTTAGTCGGTGTTTACATCGACTGTACTGTAGAGTTTTTGTAGATACACAAAGAAGAAATGTTCGGCATTGTAATCAATGCAAATTTGTTCAGTGCTATCGACAATCGTTGGATTCATTCAATTACTTGACGATCTTTGATTTTGGCAAAGATGATTTTGTATTTGGGCTCGATTTCAATAGATTCGATCTGCAACAATGGTAGCAAATGTATTCTCTTCAGGATCATGTTCAACAGTGCAACATCGTCCTATGGAAATAGCCATCGACTCGATCGGGTGATGATCAGTAGGAAAAACGAGATTCAAATATGAATAAAAGATAGAATCTATATTAGCTACAGGTGAGATGAGTTCAGATCGAAATACATTACATTCACTAAATTTTTGTCGAGTACCCAAAAAGGATAATCAATTTTCATGATGTATCTATTGATTTGCTCATTATTGTCATCATTAATGGAATCAATAACAAACGTATTAGAGAGGTATAAATTCGTAGTTACATATCTTGCAATGATTACTTCGAGCTGTCTAGGATCTAGAGCATTCTGAAAGGTTTGTGTCTAGTGATCAAAATGCAATTTCAAATTATGATTTTTATGTATCCATTCAACTTTTTCTCGCCGCTCGACGTAATCTATTTTGAATACAGTGAAAACCAATAAACATGTTCGAGCAATGACTGGTGAAATAAAACAACGCTTACCAATATCTGTCGATAAGTTTTGAATGACTTTCGTGTCTAAATATGGATCGACAGTGAGATCATTTGTAATTTATGATATTTACAAACTAATGAAATAGCTTGACGATGTTGATCATTATCAGACATGATTAAGAGCTGTTCTAATGAATGGAATTGCTGTTGATCTGGAAGATATAACGAACACGCTGAGAGTAAACTATTCGGACTGATCATATTGTATTGCTGATGAACGTTCAAATGTAAACGATTTAACCATTGAATGTATAGATCAAAAATTGGTATTGTTTTCATCGCTTAACAATTGCAGAATTGTCACACATATGTGTAGATCATACTCAGCACAAACACCGAATTTGCTGGCTAATGAACGACAATAAGATGGAACAATGATGCGAGGTAATGACGATAAATTAGTAACCATAGTTTCATTGAAACTGGCTGAAATTGGTCTAATCTGTTGTTCAATATTGCATTCACTCACAATAAGAAATTGACGAAGACATTCTCGAGTTGTCTATGTTTGAGCCAAGAGGATTGATTCATCCAATCGAGTCCATTTTTCATCTGTCAGCATAGTAAACGGTGGTAAAGGAGGTAATTGATCGATTTTATAATCTTGAGAAAATTGAATAGATAGATGGTCGTTGACAAATCATTAGGGGTGGACCATTAACATTAATGTTAAATTAATGTTAATATTTTTCATTAACATTAATATTAATGTTAATGGTTTTCCTTAATCATTAATATTAACGGTTAATGTTTTCCTTTAAAAACTTAATTCATTAATATTAATGATTAATGAATTAAGTTTTTACAGGAAAACATTAACCATTAATATTAATGATTAATGAAAAACATTAACATTAATATTAATGGTTAATGAAATACATTAATTAGTGTCATTAATTAAGTCCCGTTAAATTAAATGGTCCACCCCTAATTTCAAGAAAAAAATATTCTCATTGAAGATCATCGATCAGATGACTTTCGTATGTGCCATAATAAGGATGATGAGCAACAGGTGATGCTACTGGTACCATGAGTGATTGAATGTGGGTGTTGGTGTGGGATGCAGATGTGGGTATGAATGTGAGTGTGACTGAACGGAAGATCGACACTCACACTCATCCACACTTCAGACCCCACACACATCCACAAGATGTTTTTGACGAGTTCATATAAAAATTACAAATTTATTTCACTAGTGTCTCTCTTTTTTCTCATCTCGTTTTACTTGCCAATATGCGATAGATAAATATAAATCATACATTGTTCGAAAGAGAGGAAGATTTTCCATCCACTTCTTTTCAGGATCTATTTATCGAAGAGATGTAACGATCGACATGTAGTATGGTCCTTTTATAGAAAAAGTGTGGATACTTTTTAAGGATGCTTCTTTTTTTCTGTTACCTCGTTTCGTCTGTGAACGTATTATAAAAATAAGTTATATGTGATTCGAAAGAGAAGAAAAAGCTCTATCTTTTGGTTAAATAAGTTTTCTTTCAGCACCTTTGCAACAAAGAGAAATGGAGTTGACATTTGTGTCACTAGCTTTGCGTTGTACGTTATTTGATAAAACACGATCGATTATAAGATATAGAATTATTTTATTCTTTTGATATGAAATAAATTTCTTGCTCCGTCTATTTAAGATAAAAACAAAATTTTTAATCATAAATTGAGAAAACTTAGTAAAGAAAATATAAATGTAATCGACCTCATAATTGACGTTGAAGACTAATCAATAATAAAATTGTAATTTTTTTTCTTGTTAATTTTTATATAAATAGAACTTTGATTTATATTATAATTAGCTTGATAAAAATCGGAAAAATCTATTGGAAGAGAAAAATAGAAAAAGTAAATATTTATTTTTTTTAAAGTTTAAATCTTTATTATACAGTGATAGAGGTCGATCAAGACTAAATTTACTATTAAAAACGAAATGAGCTGAAAATTTAGTTTTACTAGTATATGATATTGTTCTTTTAAATGGACACAAAAAAATCAAAAATTTGAATTTTGACGAGTGCTTTGTATATTGAGGTCATTCTCGGTCGTCTCGTAGAGGCTTACGTAAATTGTCGTCGATTTTAAAATAAAACATGTAGACAACATTAATGCCAAGCAATAATTAGAACATGATTTGTTTTCTCAAAAAACATGGTGACTTCATATAACAAATTACTTTCTCCGTCTATTCATCTATTAATTACTTTTGTTAACTCCCATAATGAGTGTACAACAATATAATGCGAATACAGGTCTAATTATCAACGGTAAAAGGCTTGAAAATCACGCTATCGAGACGAAAGTCATTAATTTCTCTTTTTTCCCGACGACGGTGAAAGACGAGGTCTTTTAACAAAACATTCGTGGCATAAAAGCAGTGCGAGATTCAAGATATGAATCCCTCGAAGGATCTACATTCATCAAGCTATCTTGTTCGAGAAACATTTATTGTTCCTAAAGACGATCAAGATATTAATTTAGTTCCTGAACGAAAAAATGTACAACAAAAAAGAAGTATGTCAATAGTTTCTTTGCCACATGATCAAAACACAACAAGCAGGTAAAATATAATCATATTTTTCTTGAATCTTGAGAATTTTGATAGATACTGAATATCTTATTCAAGTTTTATATAAATTAAAATTTTCTGAAGAAGAATGTATTTCTCGTTTTAGTGCTTCATTTGAAAATCAAGTGGATTCTTCTAGTCAACAGAGAAATTCTGAATCGCTTTGGAAGTAAGTATAGAGAATTTATACTCTATGTTGATCCTCTTGTCCAATATCTTATATCATTTCGTTTATGACCTCATTGGAAAATAATGTTAATATCTGCATCATATATTACTTCATATCTAGATGTAGATAAGGTGAAAAATTTATCTATCAACTTATTATCATTCGAGTGATAAAAGAATTTTCAAAGATATGATGAAGCGTTTGAATCGCTTTTAATTTTTATTCTAATAATCGTGAAATAAGACTTTATTTACATTAAAAGAAATCATCTGAGATTCTATTTGTAATTTTTTGTTCACTAGTCAAATATACCGTTCTTGTTGTTATTGTTAACAGAACATATCAATTGTAATCGAAGTTGTAGCATATAAGAATTTTGAATTTAGATTAGATTCTTCTTTCAAAAAGAAAAACGCATAGTAATTCGATGAAAGACGTTAAATATAACAAAAACAAAAAAGAATAAAAGTCGTCATTCTACATCTCACTTCATAAAAATTATATTATTATTCGTGTGTATTAATCAATCATATATTATGAAAAGTTGAATAGAAAATTTTCTTTAAGAGTAGTAATATATTAAAAGAAAAATATGTCACGATGATTAGAAGAATATGTGGATGTAATTTACCATAAGTAGTCAAGTAAATACAACAACTTTTTTATGCAGTTTTCCAAACGTAAAACTCAAATTTTCGAGTTCTTTGTTGCAGCATTTTCAACTACCAAAGAAATTACATAGCCATTTTATAGCGGGTTACGTCGATTTCAGCCGAAATGTTGGATCCGATCCGAAATTCTGATGTTCATTTGATCTGGACCAAACAATCACTGGAGTTTTGGACCGAGAGCCTCAAGTCCGTTGGCGGAAACTCCAGTCTTCCTTTTGTAGTACTTGAAAAACTCTATCTTTGACTTGTGTGAAAACAATTTTTGTGTCGATGCCTGCCGTAAAGAGTGCAGGGATGTTCATCGCGAAGTGTAGATGTGTGTGCGTTTCAGTGTTTTCTTTTGGCCCACACCCTCGAGTTGACCGAAAAAGGTGAAGTTCTATATGAATATTGTAACGAAAAAGCCGATATCCCATCTAAAAAGCTTTTTAGTACCTGGAGAGGTGCAGGTGTGGATGTAAGGTGTGTGTAGGTGTGGGTACTTTTTGATAGAAGATCCACAATCATATTCATACCCTTCGCGTATTTTCGAGTCAGATTTACAATAAACGGTCATTTTTTGTAACATAATGGTTTATTGAAACCGATGCTACTATACATCATGAGTAAGAGCACACTTAAAATTCTACTTCAAAATTTATTCTGATGTGTTATCATATTTCTATAGAATGACGAAAGGATAACTTGAATTATTCAAGAAAAATAGCTTTGAAAATTGAAACTTTGCAGTATTATTCGTTCAATTTTTCTCCTTTAAGACTTGGAAGAAAACTTATGATACTATATTGTAAAGAATTGAATGGCGCATCGTTTCAGATGACGCTCAAGTCCGAGCAAAGAAAATTAACTGAGATTAAAAAAAACAACAACATTCAGAGAGCCATTTATTCTGTTGTACCCATTATTCAATAATAATTGCTTAAAATATCTTTTGACATATGTTTTATTTTTTTGCATCATATTTTGTCCTGTAAACTACTATGATAGTTATTAATACAAGAAATTAATATTCTGAATTGATTTTGCAGGATTTATTGATCTATGTATGAATTAAAAGAGAGAAATTCTGTCTATCTATCAAAATAAATCGACAAAACGGAGAAAAGAAGCTCTAGGTTTTTTTTTAATATTATTTCTTAACTAGGACATGGAAATATCGTCTAGCACTAGCAAGAACAACTCAAGAAAGATCCGAAGCTTTGAAATTTTTGAGTTCATACAAAGACAAATCAAATAGTTGTCATCATTTACCGACATTCAACGAGCTACAAACTGAACACGATAATCATGATTCTAAAGATGCACGTAGTGTTTCACAATTACAGGTAATATTATATTATTCTTTCATCTTCGAATAAGTGTTGATACGTCCTTCATTTTGGTGTTCTTTTCGTATGAAAGAGTACATGAGAAAATTCAAAGAAAAGCTATAGCAATAGTGCTATTTTTGATAATAGAATGTCATTGCAGATTTGTAGTAGTTCTTAATCTACAAATTCAAAAACTATGTTTAGGATTTATTATCCGATTTAAAATTTTCAGAGTCTCAGTCTTTTTCACAATATCAAAAGATAAGAGAAATAGATTATCTTTTTATTCTTTGATTTTCTGCTTGAATTTTTCTATGGTTTCTATATGAAGATTTTAGTCAATAGAAATTGAAGTTCATGTTCTCGTTCGACTACATCACCTCATCGAGAAATACGCAAAATATAACAATTTAATTTATTATTATGCATAAAAAGTCCTTAACAACATCTTGATTTTCAAAAGTTTTGAGATACTTATAACATACACAGTTCTGATTTTTTTGCTTTTTTCAAAGGTCGACAAGATTGAAAGTGATCCAAGTTTTCAAAAAAACCAAATTCGTATTTCTCGAAAGAGCAAGTCAGTAAAAAAAGATAAAAACGTCATAAAAGTAAAAGAACAGTTAAACTTATCAGAAGATACAAATCAAAAAGCATTGTCTTTGGAAGAGAAACTTGCAAACAATCGTGAATTAAATATAATAGGCATCATGAATCTATCTTCAATGAATTTGACTGATAATGATATGCTATTGGTTATAGAGAAAATTTTCGGAAAACACAAAACAAAATGTACTGGATTTATCTTCCGTGATAACGCTCTGACATCGATTGGCATGAAAATGTTTGTCGACGCAATACTTGCGACACGAATGAAGTTAAAATATCTTAATCTCTCGAATAATTTGAATATTGGAGACGCTGGAATTGAACATGTAGTGTATTTATTTAAAAAAAGTCGATCGATAAATTTTCTAGCATTATCCAATACGGGTATTACTGATCGAGGTGTTCGATTACTAGCTGATTTACTTTGTGATGTTGATGCTGATACTGATTCATGTTGTTCATCTCTCGAAAAACTTTATTTATCTTTCAATACGTCGATTACTGATGAATCAATGGAAGCTCTTCTTCAAATAATTGAACAAAATCGAACTTTGAAGTTACTCTCTGTACAATACTGCAGTTTATCTGATCAAGCTCGACAATTATTGAGAGAAACAGGTAGAAAAAAGAAGAAGAAAAAATTCAGTCTGTCAGAGTAAAACGAAAAAACCTAATACGAACTAACTTTCTTTGTATGTTGTTTTTTAAGTCAATTTTCAACATGAGATATATCGTTGTACTATTTCTTCTTGTTTTTATTTGTATTTGTTTCTTTCTTATCTATGTTTTGTCTTCATTGTCTAAATCTTTTAATTGATCGCGCGCTTATTGGGTGTGGGTATAGGTAGACATGCATCAAACTCAAACCCAAACCATTCGAGAGTTTGGATTTGTCACATGAAACTCACCAAATCATTTGACTTTGGCTACAAGACCATTTCTGTGAAGTCACTTTTGTATATATACAATGGTGTTTTTCATATAAATATAACCAAAGGTATATTTCTATGTTTCATATTGTCAAACATCAAAATGAAGTTATTCTTAATCTTAATAGGATAAGCTTGCAGGACGGAAATTTCTGATTGATTTATCTAAAATTTGATAAGTTGAAAATTGAAACAACCTTTTTCAGTCGCAGAAACGATGTGAGAGTAAATAAAATGTGTATGAAAAAGTTTTTATCGACTACATTAGTAAGTGTAGCTTATGATATATATCAGAGATGTGAGTGTCAACGCATGGACGAAAATAAGAAACAAAAGAAATGCGGTAGAGAAGATAAAGGTAATATCACGAGAAAAGAAGAGAAAGAAGTGTCATGTCACTGCATAGGATATGTGTTTATGTATATGTAGAGAATGCAAAACAAAACGGCGAGAGAAAGATGAACACAGAAGGCAAAGAGAAGAATTTATGATGGATGAAAAATGAAAGAGTAGTTACGACTGCTATAATGGCACTGACATGAAACGAAAGAGTCGAACGTCTTCTTCAAGTTACTAGTTGAAGATAGAAGAAAAGCATCCGAAAAGAAAAAGGATGGAGCGTGGGTATGGGTGTGGGAATACTCTGTTTGAAAAGGCACTCGTACCAATCCACGCTCACACCCTCACGCCACCCAAAAACATCATGCCATTAATGAAAACATATTTCAATGTCATCTGAAGTACTATAATTCTCTTCATCATCAATTCTTGATCCCTTAAGCATAGTATATGTC